ATATTTAAAGCAAAAGTTACATTGAGGTTTTAGGTACTATATGACGTCACTTAAATTATTTCTTTGATTATTTTAAAAACAAAAGTTCTCATGAATTTATATTTTGAACAGTTTAGTTTTCGATATACAGGATGTTAAAATGTTTAAAAATGCACCGTTTGTGCAAATATCGGAAATTATTTAATAGGTTGATAACTGAGGTTATATTTTGAAGTTAACTAGCGTAAATATGGCAACAATTTATTTGCGATTGAAATTTTATTTTGTATATAATCTTCTATACATATCTCCGCTACCGTACTAGAACACCACCACCCATGTCATTTAATGGTGATAATATCGGCCCCTGCGTCGACTGACAGAGTGGCGGAAGAACGTCTACAGCAGTGCCCTGTATAAGTTTCCGGATGGGACAAATTGAGATAAGTTGCTATTTCTTTTGGCACATTCCTTATTTCGTTAACGCCAACCACTTGGTTAACACATTTTCCCTGACATACTTTACAAAAAATCTTCCGACTTGTAGTAATTGCTGGACGTAAAGCAAGTATTTGCGGTACCTAGATATATCTTCATTTCATCTGAAAAGTCCAAAATTAGTTAAGCGATCGATCAATTAATTTGAAACCTAAATACCGCCTCGCACACTTTTTGAATTTTATTCGAACTACACCATCCTTTGAATTCATTGTAGGCAATCTCGTACTGTCTGGACGATTATTTTTTGGGGATTAATTGTGAAACAGCACTTTGTGCCGCTTCCAATACTGCCCCTGGCATGCAAATGCTCGTCCTCACTTTCTGGGTTCATTTTGAATTAAGCAACATGAATTCAATATATAATTCTGACACTACTTTTTTAAACAACTAATTTTTATTGTTTATTAGGTTGATGTCGTTATGAATCTCTGCGCCTAAACCGTCTTGATTCAAACACGGTTCAAATGATTTCGAATACATATAAATTAAATTGTTGTATATAATACAATTGTCTTATTTTATTGCAGTTTTCGAAAAAATATGATTTGCATCTCGAACGCGAAATGGTACCTTTGCGTTTTCGAATGCATATTTTGCCTCGTTAAGATCGGCAAAATAACTTCCATTCTTGAACGCAAAGGCATCATTTCGCGTTCAAGATACAAAAATTACTATTTTATTGTTTTTGATAATTTTTAAAAATACGCCAATAATATTATTATTAGCATCCAGTATATTCTTATACAATTTAGGGAGGGACTGAGTCTTAATAAAACAATATTTTAAAATATTACCCAAGTATTAATGTCATTACATGCATAAGCCATGTTATGAAAACGTAACAAGTGGGTTCTAGATGGCCTAAAGTGCTACGCGTCGGTTTACAAATCCAGAGGTTCGGGTTTCGATCACCGATATATGGGCAAAGCTTTTTTTCAGCTAATATCAAATGCAATTTCTCATCGTCCGTCTGTCATTGCTGCTCACGATGTCAATAATTTCTCGCAGTGTTGCCAAATATCCGTTGATTAGGCGTGATAGATTCCTCGTTCAAATTGTGCCAGAAATTATAAATCGTTAAATATAAAATATATTACGTAGATAAATTAAGGAAGATTTATTCGAATTAAAATATAACAATTCAATTATTATGTTATTCAGTCATGGAGATACAGAGACATTTCTTCTAAAAACCTTTGAATTTCAACACCATCGACTATTTTGGAATTGCGGGGTGTTTCTATGAAATGAGGTGTCTTCTGTTTTATTCGAAATTTTAATAATTAAATTTTAAAAAAAATTCGTTAAAAATGTGCACATATTTATAATTTCTAATAAGGTATTTTCATGTATTAAGCAAAATTCCATATAAATATACAATACAGGGTGTTTCAGAAAGACCTCCCGTAAATACAGGGGGTGAGGACGACAAAAAATAAGAATTTTTTGTCATATGAACTATATGTCTATCTCCTCTTCTCAAAGCTCAAGCTTACTTTGAGAAAAGTCACTTATTTTATAGTGTAATATTGTAAGAGTTTAATTAAAAGCCTTTTTTCTCGAAAATCGTCCACATTAGGAAGTTCTAACAAGAGTACATTATTTTTAGAAAATAAAATTGTACAATAGAAATTGGAGCCCGACTGGTAAAAAATCTAACCTTAAAAAAAATATAACTTAAATTGTAATAAGAATGTAGCATAACTAGCGCCCTCTATGAAATATACAAAAAATAATTAGACTAGCGTATTTGGCACCCTTAAAAACCTCGGACTACCAAATTTCATAAAAATATTTCGCACCATTTGGAAATTTTCATAAAAATGTTATTTAAAAAATTTTATTTTGTCTCTCTGTATCTCGAAAACAAGAGGAGATAGACATAGAGTTCATAAGACAAAAAATTCTCATTTTTTGTCATACTATCACCCCCTTTATTTACGGGAGGTCTTTCTGAAACACCCTGTATATATTTTTCGTTTTATTCTTGTAATTGTAAATCTCTATATGCTCAATTTAGCCAAATAAATATCGAGAAAAGAATTAAACGATTTCAAAAAAGTATGTATGGTGTAAAAAAATTATGCACAAAAGTTTTGGGATTTTCTTTTAGAAAAATAGGAAAATTTTTGTAAAGAAAAATAACAAACGCGAATGAAAACTTGAAAGAGAAAAAAGGATTTTTATATCAAGTATAATATTAATTTATTTAGAAATAATGCATTATGCACTAAGATCGTATTAATCGCCTCAAAAATAACTTCATTTGTTTATAACTTTTAAATTTTTAAGCATAAAATAAGCAATATTATAATTATTTATTTGAAACAAATAATAATTTACATAATAATAATTAATAACCATTTATAAATATGAAATTTTTGGAGTGAAAAAATTAAATTTCATCACGTTTATTGATTTATTGATTTTTTAATAATTTGCGGACATTAAATCGTCGGACACTTATATCACTATTTTGTACAGTAAATTTAAAAGTGGAAAAAATGAAAATTAGATATGTGGTAATCGATTTTTCATACCCCGTGAAAATTCCGATTTCCAGCTGTCGGACTGAAAAAACGCGGCTTGAAATTTGTCGGACAACAATACTTTTTGACTGAATTAATTATTTACAATTAATTTTACTAAAAATTACCTATGTGGTAATTGATTTTCAATACCCTGTTATTTTGGCATGTTTCGACCGGTAGACACGTCAATGTCGGAGGAATTTCTGTCGGACAAATTTAAATCGGCATTTGCAACAAAATTTCCAGTTACTTAAGCTAAAAATAAAAGATGTGGTCTTGAGTTTTCAAGACCCCGGGAAATTGCCATGTTTTTGGAATTTTCCGAGTGGAAAAGCGGAGGAATCGAGAAAAGTCGCAGAGGAAAAATGTGGTAGACTCGTCAAAACGAAGCTCCTCAGGAGTTATAAAGTATGTGGTAATCAACTTTTCAGAGGGGGCCTGTACTGTGGACTATTAATATAGTCGAATAAATCGAAAATGGCTCTAAATTGATTCGTTTTACAAAAAATATATTGAAACTCTTTGTGCGAAATACGATTTTAAATACTATCGTCAACAGTCCAAAAAAATCAGTGCTTTTTCTCGGAAAATTCAAAATTTTTATTAAATAATTTTTTGGGAACATTAATACCTACATTATTAATTAAAACAACAAATAAAACTCTTATAATTTTTATCGAAACAATTAGTTATCAGTTTATTTTTTTATTATTCAACTGTGTGATACGTTTATTTTATATTAACAAAAAATAATAATTTGTCGACCATGATTTGTTTTCCGAATAAAACGAGAAAAAAAAAACATTTGAAATATAATATATAATAAAAAAATATATGTATCTATTAATTTTTTGAAAACAGTGACATCAAAATTTTGGGAATAGTAATGATACAGTGTCG